CGGGGACAGCGACGGCGGCGGTAGTCCATTAGGCTTAGGGTTAGGGTTTGAGGATGGATCTACGGAATTTGATTGCATCTCATTGAAGAGTGAGAGAAAGAGAGGGAAAAGGTAGAGAGTGAACTCTCTGAAGAGCGGGGACGTCTTTCAGTGTGAGTCTTAAACAAATAATACTTTTTGTGGAGGCGCTGCTTTAAGCGTGGGAGATCGGATACGTGCTTTTGATTGCTTTAAAAGGGTAGCTGAGAACTTGCGCCCAGTTTGTCACCCACTTTAGATGGGCCCCCACAGGCCAGTGTAACATTATTGGTTTTTTTCATAATAGTGCCTTAATTTTAAGATTTCCAAAGGAATCCCTCATATTTTAGTAACGGCCAGTAGATGCCTCGATTCTTACATTTTATTATTGCTAATCTTCACCCCCATTAACTTGAGACAATTTCTCAAGAATTGAGGCGATTCTTACATTTTATTATTGCTAATCTTCACCCCCATTAACTTGAGACAATTTCTCAAGAATTGAGGCCTAATGGTAGTTTAATGGGTATCCCCCATGATTGCTGTAAACCCCAAGAAGTTTCAAAATCACACCAAACCCCTAAGACTTTTTGGCTTTTGCAGAAAACCCCATAAAATTTCTAGGGTTTGTAGATAACCCCCATAAATTAGAACAAAAAAATAACATAAAAATACATTTTGAAAGTTTATGAAGGTATAAAGTAATTTACCTAAAAGTTCATGGGGATTTAATGTGATTTCAAAAATTCACGATGCTTTATTACAAAACACTGAAAGATCATGGGGGTTTTGCATAATTTACCCTATCAGTTTTAATGCTTTGCGGGTGTGTTCTGGGGTCGGGTGTTTTTGCAATTGTTTGATAAGTTCGGACATGTGATACAGCGGCCCGCAGCCCGTGGGGCATGCTTTTGAAGCAAGTGTTCTTGGGACTTTGCCGGCAAGAGAGCTATTGGGGGAAGCTTTGCGCTAATCATTTTTTGGGTTAATGTCCAAAAATCCCCCTTAACTAATCACTAGAATAAAAAAACCTCCTCTAGTTTCTGATACATAAAATAACCCCCTTCTTATTCTTTTTGGAACTTTTGAGTTTTGACTGACGGATGACTAATGACGTAAATCACTAAAATTTAATGACTAGTTTGCCCCTAAATTAATTACATCACAATAACTAACCCTAATTTTATTTTATTCATTTTATCCTTAACGCCTCTTCCTCTTCTAATCTCTCACCCAAAAAATTTGATCGGAGACTCTTGTGCTAAGCAATGACTTCTTGGAAAATATCCACTTAATTAACAGAGACTTATGTTTATGAAAGATGTCAAGCTTTTGTTGACCAGTGCGTTTGATATTTATTTTGCAGTAAGTTTTTCATAATTTTCCTTAAATTATAGAGAACAAAATCTTGACCTGACTTTTCATAATAAATTAGATTATTGATCTCCGTAAGCTTAGGAAAATACAAAGAATATTATGAAAAATCAAACAAATATTGGATTTTTTTTGGCAAGTTTTAATTTCTAAGTTTTTTTCTTGTACGAAATCTAAAAAATCATATAATGAACTCTATTTAATTGGGATATAATTATTTACATTTACAAACTATAATGATAAGAAAAATTCCTCAAGGACCCAAAATATGAGACCAATAAGGGGGACAAGTGAGGTGCCCCCCTCCTATTGGATAATGAGTTGACCATCATTAATGATGACCAACTCATTATCCAATAGGAGGGAGATACCTGACTTGTCCCCCCTATTGGTCCCATATTTTGGGTCCATGTAGCAAAGCTCTTCATCATGACAGTTATTTTGACCATGCCCTCCTACGAGACATATTAATGGAGAAATTCACTTAATGGACAACCTTTAAGAAGATGGAATTTTTTGGAGGTAACTAGGAATGTTATGAACAATCTTCGATATGATGGTGGATTTAGAGTTTTATGTAACATGCATGGAAAATCTCTTCAAGATGGATCACCATGACATGACAATGACATAGATTGTTTGATAAAATCAACAGCTATATTATTATTACTTGTATTATCTAGTGAAAGAGAAAATATTATTTCTAGAATTTCTAACATCAAAAGATCTTCAATTATTAAATTTGCAACATTAATGCCAGTATGTGACTCTTCAATTGCAATAAAGAAAATAACTCTTTTAAATATTTACCAATTTTCATCAATCCAGTATGATGTGATGCATAAATAACTAGTTTATGATTTAGATGTCCAAATATTAGAAGTTAAATAAAATTTAAAGTTTAAACTTTAAAAATAAGAAATTATTTTTTCTTGTTCCTCCTGATAATGTTTTAAAATATCATGTTGGCAAGTTTGACTAGAATTTTTTTTAAATGCGGGGTAAAGACCATCTGTAAAAAAATCTTCAAATTCATCATCTTCTACTAATTTAAAAGTAAGATTCTTAAGAATGATAAACCTGATGACGCATTTTCTGGCATGAGCTGCGTCATAATTCTAACTACCGAGACTACCAGAATATGAGGATTGCGAGACCATAGATTGTCGGATATCACCTTGAGACGTCTGGCCTTTGTTGTGTTTATCTAAATGGTGTTTGAGGTGGTTGGTGTCGCTCTTATGTTGAGCTTAGAAAATCTTTCTGCACAACGCACACTTAGCCTTCTGGTTGAGGATCCTACCGTTTTCATCATTGGTGATGTCTATCTTCTCGAAAAAATTCCACGCAACGGATCTCGGCCTTTTAGGAGCTCTTGGTGTAGAATCATCGTCACCGGATTCAGGATCAATATCGGTAGGATCAGTAGGAGTAGTTGTAGGACTCTTTTCGGGAATTGGGTTTTGCTCTTCATAATCAGATCCAGAAGCCATTTGATTGAAAATTTAGAGAGGTAAAGCGATTATTAGAGAGTATAAGAGTGAGTAAAAGAGTATTAGAGAGAAGTAGATGAGTTTTGGATGAGGAAAACAAATGAAAAACCCTCTATTTATAGAGGTAGACCCCTAGACAAATGACCAAAATACCATCATTTTAAACTAATTTTTACCGTTTTGGGGGGCAAAACGGTCTAAACGGCCAAAATGGTCATTATGGCCGGCCCGACCACAACGGTCANGTTGTGGCCATTAACGGTCACAAAAATGGCCGTTAATGCCGGGCCAGGCCGGGTTGGCCCGGCATTTGCCCGCAATGGTCACATTATGTGACTGTTGCATCCGGGTCGGGCCGGCCCAGATACTTAGCCTGGCCATTTTTATGTCCGGCCGAGTCAGGGCCAGGGCCGAACGCCGATGAGGCGGCCCGGGCCAAATGGACAGCCCTATGCACGAGTGATAAATACTAAGTCTTATTAGTGGGATTCTTAAGTAAGAGGCCTTATTTACTGCAAAGCAAATGTAGTTGATAGAAATTAAGCTCAAAAGGATTATCTAGTCAAAAGGTATAAGATCGAAAATAAACAAAACAAGATTTGACCAATGAAAATTAAGATTATAATATTAACTACTATAAAAAGGTTATTTATGTCAATACAATATTTATTTTCATCCAAACTAACGGAAAATGTGGATGTGATGAAAAATTATAACTAGGGCCCTTTGGTCGGGGTTGGGGTTCATTGATGACTCGGAAACTCGAGGGAGGTTTTTTGAGTCTAGGGATTAGTTGAGGGGCTTTTCTCAAATTAGCACCTTCTTTTTCCTTACCAATATCATACGAGGACAAAACATAATATAAATGGATAAAATACATAAATAAAACATCATGGAAACACATCCAACACGACCAACATGCCAATACACAATCCATATTTGTATTCACTTTTTACTTATTTATTTATTTAAATGATTTGTCTGGTTTGATCTAGTAAGTAACGAGCAAAATTGACCCACATGTTGCCGCGAACATTAATATATATATATATATATATATATATATAATATATATTATATATATATATATATAATATATATTATATATATATATATATTATATATAAACTTATTGTCAGCTTAATGTGGAAGCGTCCACTTAAGTTTCTTAGTTATTGATGCATCACTTGATTGAGCCTATATTGTGGATGATCGCTCTGTTGAACTTGATCTACATATTTCTAAAACTCAGGCTCCCCAACACATCAAATTTGGGATGAAAACCCGTCGTGGTTTGACCCTTCATCCACTCGTATCAATTTTAACGCGTGTTCGAATGAATAGAAAAAAACTTTTTACATGGCCTCGACGGCAGGGGCTCAAACCACGACGCGGTTTCACCCCAAATTTGGAAGTGCTGTGGGCCGGTTTAGAATATGTAGATCAAGTTCAAAAAAAAAAAAAAAAATAAAAAAAAAAAAAAAAAAAAAAAAATAAAAAAAAATTCAAACGGACGGATCATCCACAATGTAACTCAATCAATGATCATCAAAATGACTAAGAATATCTTTAGTGAAGACATCCACTTAAGTTGGCCATAAGTTTTCACCACTCACCTGCACTCACTCACTCTCTCTTCTCTTCTCTCTCATCTCTCTCTCTCTCTCTCTCTCTCTCTCTCTATATATAATAATTATATATATATATATATATATATATATATATATATATATATATATTATATATATATATATATATATATATATATATATATATATATATATATATAATTGTGTCGTGTGCGTGTTGTGTGTTGTAGGCTGTCTAAAAATCACAATAGATAGCTGATCCCCATCAAACACCGATGATGGAAGTTACAATCTGACGACTTCCAGAAGGCTACAATTTGAAGACTTTCACGTAGATCGCTGAAGGTTACAATCTGACGACCTTCACGACAACCGATGAGAGC